ATTATTTATAGAGTACAAGGAAGAAATCATAATTAATTGCATTCAGATTTCATATTTTTCCCGAGTCAAGAAGCATAGACTACATCATTGAGTCACAACACTGTGATCAAAGATGAAGCCTCAAGCACACAATATAAAGACATAATATATTAGATGATTTCGAAAGAAAAACACAGAAACTAATTTAAGATGTATTGAGGCAGGGGAGCCATGGTTGCAACAGAGCTAAGAAAATGAATAGACATTCATCAGAAACATTTCAGACGACTTTCCTACAGAGTATACATTATACAGCATGTTTACCTGGATAAGATTGACTGATTGCTTGATTGTCCATCCGAATAAAATTAAAGCTAATAGAGTTAAGTATATCCAACTTTGCATTGCAGCATTCACTAAAACCTAACAAGAACATAGATGGAAAAAAAACCAAGCTCGGTATATTTTCAGAAGACGAGACTAAATATTACTGAAAACAAGAAAATAAGAGGCTTACATCAGTCAAATTCTCGGTTTGCTTCTTTGCCAGAAGAAACAAAATAATGTAAAGAACCTGTGGACCAAATTACTTAAGTAAGATAACTACACATAAAAAGCACTCAAAATTAGAAGGATCAAAGAGATTCACCTCACAGGATACACAACAGTAACCCATAAATTTGCGATTCGCATAGTAAGCCCTGAACAGCCAACTGCTACTATCCTTTACGTCTTTATGACTAGTTTTGCCTACCAAGAAGGAACTGCGATACACAGGAGGTGAAAGTAAGTCAAATATAAAGGAAGATCCACAAGAAATTGACACAGATAGATGTTGTACAATAAAGACAGCCACTGCAAAAACAGCTCTCCGATTAAATGCAATCTTTCTCAGGTTAGAAATTAAACAGAAACAGTGAGTTATAATGTAAATACCTGTACATTTGCAACCAGTGACTGGCAATATCTAGAGCAAGCAACGACAAGAAAATGAAGCCAGGCCTGGAACAAATTGGGAAGAGAACCTCAAATATGTAGTGGATTTTACTCACAGAAATTAATATAAGTACAAGTTAAAGCAAATCACCTATAAACTTGGGAGAGTATTACCAGCAGGCAGGCAGTGCTTATCCTGGGAGATAAAACACAAATTTAAGGTGGAATTTGTGGACAAAGAAAACGACATCTGAGATCCTAAGTTAGACAAATATAGCTCATAATGAGAATGTAAATGCTAGATTACCTATCCGTAACCATGTCGAGAACAGCTCCAAAGGTTGAAACTGAAATGAACAAAGCAAATCAATTAATTGCACATATGGCAGGTTTGGGAAGTTATTTTCATAATGTCTTAATAGATTTATACACATTAGACTGGCCCTATAACAGAAATCGAAGAAGTTCAGTTCACCATAATTACCACTGCAAACAACAACTTCATAGGAGCTTTTCCTATTTTGTGGCTCTATTGTTAAAATAGATGATACTTGAGGTGGTAAATCACATACAGATTTGATTCTCTATTAATCATTCCTCAATTTCTTCAAATTTTGGTTTTGGTACCCGAATGACATTCCACCTGCAACCTCGAGGCTTCAACTACCCAAATCATTGGTTGTCCATTGTTTGGGAAAAGTGTTCTATGAAACTTATTAAGCCTTTGTTTGATCCTCGTTATTATCAAAATATACTTTTGTCTCTCTTATTTTTATCCAAAACTTTTCTTTATTTATTAACCACACATTCTGCATCAAAATATAGAACTTCAAAACGAAAGCATGTAATCAATATTTCACCATTCAATTATAAAAGCAACATAATTTTTATACACAACATTCATACAGATTCAAAGCAATAAATATGTAATCAAACAGACAAACTGTTATCTAAACACCAAATCAGATAATTGCTACCACCCCACCAAAAAAAAAAAGGAAACTTCAGTCTAATAATTTATGGCATACAGTAACTAAATAGTCAAAATCTATAAACCCATACCTTGGTTCAATTTGCGTGCAAACCAACCATCTAATGCATCACACGCAAAGCTGAACAAAACCCAGCATTCAAATATTCAATCAATTTAATAATCTTACTTCAATAGAAAAACCAAGGAAATGATGATGCACCTAATAAAATACAGAACCGAGAAAAGATATTTGTCCTTGAAGCATATGGCGAAGGCAAAGCAATTCAATATAATTCTTATGTATCCTGCATCGACAATGACCAAAAGAAAATCAATTAAAACTAAAGCGGACAATGTTACCCTCCTCATCTAAAATCTTAGATTAGGCTGTTACAGAGATTTAGTTTCAACAAGCCCCGGACCCGGATTCAGCCTTCACGGCGCACAATTTTCATAACCATCTCGACAGACAACAAATCAATTGAGAAAAAATAATAATGAAATAGCTCAAATACTGACCAATGATGTTGGGCACGTAAAGGTAAACGGTTAACGTGCTGGGTCTCGATTTGTCCGCCATAACTGCACCAAGGATTTGAATCGCTGTCACTGGGATTCTACGGAATTCACAATAGAAGTGACAATTTCAGCATCTAATCCTAGCTCAAAAAATCAACTTGAATATGCAGTATTTGGGTATTTTTCTCTATATTTTGGAATAAATGAAAATCAAAATATCCACTATCACGAGAGAATAATTCCCACTTTTAATCTGAGAATCACGAGGGAAAGTGGGAAAAAAAGAGTTTGATAAAGTAAGCAACTCAGTTCAAATCGAATGTGGAAAGATATCCATTTCTTCCTCATGGAAGAATATATATTCTTTGCGGGTTACAAACGTCACGAAACTTTTTCTGAAATTTCACTTTAGTCCCTTAACATTTTATGCTAAAATTTTTAGTTAATTGTTTCAACACACATCGAACTTTGGGTAGTTTCACGTTTCACTCACTGTACTTTAACTTGTATCCATAACTTACTGAACTTTATACTGTTGCACTCCATTGCTCACCAAATTACTCCCGGCATTAACTACACATGTGAAGGACGGATTTTACAGATGACTGTGAAATGTCATGTCATTCTTCTAAACACGTCTTATCCAAAATCAAACAAAAAAGTCGTGTATTCGTACGTTGATCATCCCAGACCAGAAATCTTGCTAACCCCAAATCACCTCACCCAAATTAGTCGACGTGAATCCTAATAGAGCCTTCATCACCTTTGAAGGACCCACCCCAACCACGAATCTTGTGTTTTGAAGATTCGCAAATGGAAGGACGACCACATCAAGGTAAATCCCAAATTTTTGTTCTCTTCTTTTCTAGAGTTTGAGCATTATTGTCGTGCATATATTATTTTTATATGGGTTCTACTCATTGTTATAGGGTTTGATGCATATAATAATTCTTTTGGATGTAGGGATTAGGGTTCTAAGATAAGGCTTTGTTATGGCATTTTGGAAACTTTATTGCACTCCCTTTTTTCATAAATCTGCAGCCAATTATGCGGCAGGAGAATTGATCTAGCAAAATTTGAAGTCGAACATCAGTAGATGATACAACTAAACTGCATCTTGTCTATCCATATAAAACTCATTACAAACAAGAGTGAAGCAATTGATGAATTATGATTACTATGGTCTAGTACTCCTCGTTGAATTAAATTAATTTACAGTGACCCGGATTTCAATGATTCCGATAATGATATATCATCTGGTGAAGACGATTTGCTAATCGAGAAAAATGTGACTTGGGGAATTGAGTTAGATTGTCATTCTCAATAAAAACACATAAAAGTCTATTGATTTTCTTTTTCTATCTATTGATACAAGTTATCAACACAAGGTTCTAGTCAACTAAGTTGTCAAAAGTGAATATTATTTTGCATTCAAAGAAAAACACGAATTTCTAACTAATTGAATTTTTTTCTTTCCGTTCGAATAAACACGAAAATATCTAGTGGTGGTGGAAAGTGTAAATCTATGAACAATAAATAAATCAAATTTGGGCTACTTGAAGATTTATACATCTATCAAATCTGAAAAGCAATTCAATTTATTGCTACCCTTCTAATGCAACTAAGTTCATTCATTTTTTTCATCATAGAATATATCAAATCGTAAAAGATTTTTTATTATAATATTTAGTAATGTTTATGCTCTTGAAGAAGCATGACTAAAAAATATATTTTTTTTAGACGAATGTGGTGTTTATGTTCTTGAAGAAGCATGTTTATGCTCTGAGAGCATGTTTGGTACCGATTAAAA